GGGGGACTTCTGTACTTTCAAGTGAGTGACCTGCATTTTGGATCTGGGATCTTTTTATGTTATTAAGGTGCTCAGACTTAAACTACTCTTTTCAAACACCCTTGAACCATAAAGCTGCTTCTCGTCAGCAGGTTGTTGTTCATAAAGAAAATTAATAAGGTCTCTTGGTGAAACAGGTCTATTTGTGGGGAAAACAGGCACTGTTTCCTGTCCCAGACTTCATGGGGTCTATGCTGAGTCTCACTTTGAGGTGTTTTACCTAAAATGCAATTGGTGGTGCATGAAGATTGAAAAAAAAAATGGAATAAGCATGCTTGCCTTGATGGGCTTTGGTGGTACACCATCACCTAGAGCATTCTAAAAACATCAGCAACTATTTACTGCTGCAGATTTCATTTTAGCTAGAAGCTTTGCATAAATGTTTATAGTGAAGAGGGAAATGTTACTGTGCACCCCTGGCAGAATTGGCTGTGGGTTGAGTTCAGGCCCTGCCCAGCAAGATGTAGTTAGGCCAAAGCAAAGCCCTGACTTAGCTCTCTGCTTTAAGCCTTAGTAAACCAGTGACAGGCAAAACCAGATAGTGCCCATGTGTCTCAAAAGATCTCTGTAATACTGTCATCCAAATGTACATGGGAACTACATTAAAACCTGTGCCAGGCAAGCAAACAAAACACCCTGAGCCCTGCCTTGTGTTTCCTGTCCTGGGCAGTGGCTGTCCAGGGGAGGGTGGGGACCAGCTCTGCTGCCTTCCCCTGGACCACACTCCTGCTCCATCCTTAGGTCTGTTGTTAACTTATGGATGGGGTTGGCAATTCTTGTGTAGCCTGTTCTGGCTGCTGACCCACATGACCACGGCCTTTCAGGTTTTCCAGGGGGGAAAAAAAGATGCTGAAGAGTGTAATAAAGTTGAGCCCATTTGATGATGAGTCAACAGTGTGCCCTGGCAGCCAGGAGGGCCATGGGGGGCATTGGGCATAGATGGCATTGCCACCCAGGCAAGGGAGGGGATTGCCCTGCTCTGCTCTGCACTGTGGCAGCCTCACCTTGAGTCCTGTGTGCAGTTTTGGGCACCACAATATAAAGACATGAAGCTCTTGGAGACTGTCCAAAGGAGGGCAGTGAGGATGGTGAAGGGACTGGAGGGGAAGCCTTAGGAGGAGTTGCTCAGGTCACTTGGTTTGTTCAGCCTGGAGGAGACCGAGGGGAGACCTCACTGGGGTCTTCAACATCCTCCTGAGGGGAGGTGGAGAGGCAGGCACAGATCTCTTCACTCTCGTGACCAGTGACAGGGCCCGAGGGAACGGCTGGAGCTGAGTCAGGGGAGGTTTAGGTTGGATCTCAGGAAAAGGTTTTTCACCCAGAGCGTGGTTGAGCACTGGAACAGGCTTCCCAGGGAAGTACTCACAGCACCAAGGCTGTCTGAGTTCAAGAAGCATTTTAACAGTTCTCTCATTCACATGGTGGGATTGTTGGGGTGTCCTGCACAGCACCAGGAGTTGGACTTGATCATCCTGATGGGTCCCTTCCAACTCAGTGTATTCTGTGAGTCTCTGAAAATGTTGCTAGAGTGGTGGTGCCACTGAAGCCAGAAGTAAACCTCTTATCCATAAAATGAAATATAAAATTACACCCTCAGGAAATATAAACATTAAGGTAAGGAAATGTGTAATTACAACATCTTTCTGTTGTCCAGTTCCCGCTGCTTCAGAGAAGACAGGGCAGGGAATCATCTAAATAAATGAGTCCTCAGCCATCCTCCACTGGAACCAAGCTGGGAGGTGACCAGACCTGTTAGAAGCCTGCAGGAATTAAAAAGAACCTCCAACTTTGTGATGGATTCTCCCTGTTCCCAGTCAGTGAGATATCAGTTGATTCCATTCCTTGGGTATTCCTGCTATGAAATGACTGTTCCTAACATGTCCCATTCTGCAGTTCAACTGGCCTCTTGCTCTCCCAGTGAGTGTAGAAAATGGTTTATTTCCTTTCTAGAAACATGTTACATATTTGAAAATTTTACCATGTTTCCCCATAAACTTCTCTAGTTTTAGGAATTCCAGTTATGATAATTGCCATAATTTGTCATACAAGATTTCATTAAACTGACTTTTCACTGTGTGCTTTTTCTCCCCTTATTATTTGGTCTTTCTGTGCACTGACTTGCTTAAACTGAACTCCAGACCATTGTGTGGGTAGCAGAGAAATTCAGACAGGAATTTATAAAGATATTTTATTTTACAGGTATTTTTTCCCTCCTATGAAATCAGCACAGAGCAACACAGGTGCAAGAGAGAATTGCTGAACTAGACTGTTAAAATCAGTCTTGATTTTTCTCTGCTAGGTGATGGTACAGGTATCTTGTAAAGAAATGCTCGCAGATAATTTCTGTAAATAAAAGTCTCATTCAAATATAGAATTCAGAGCTCCCTTTTGACTACCTCCTTTCCAGGGCACTCCATTTTGTAAAGATACAAAAGCTGAATTTGTCACTGAGAACACTGGTAGCTCCGTTGCAGGGGGTGGGCAGTGAATGCCTTTTCCCAGGATATCTGTGGGATATGTTTTAAATGAGCCACTCCTGATCGAATTTTGGCAGCTTTACTTCAGCTTCTGATGAAGCCTTGGAAAAGCTGAGTGCTGTGAGGTGTTCCAGAGACCAGGAGGTGTCATCGAGCCCCTGCTGCAGGACCTGTGCTGCTGGTAACACTTACTGAGCATCTGTGTACTGACTGTACACATGGGAAAGCTTTTCCTCTTGTCCTCTGGAAAGCAGCTCGCTGTCTGTTGCCCATTTAGCAGACAAGATAAATTCCAATTCTGGAGAGTTCAGACCACTTCATCTGCAGATAGGAAATCTGTTGGACAAGGCCCTGTAAAAAACTTCCCAGAGGGGAGAATGGGGAAACGTTTTGAATGTGATTTGCTGCTGGATGGTTCTGCCATTTCTAAAAACCTTTCAGAGGTAGAAGGAGCCCGGGTTATTTGTAGCTTCTGGTAGCATGGCAAGCCACTCCCCTGTTTAAGGGAACCGATACTCTATAGCAGCAAACTGGTTTGTCTGTGGTTTAAATACTTGGAGCCAAGCTAGATGTTTTAAGAGTAATGTTACAATAATTATACGTTGCTTTCCCTGGAACTTGCCCGTTTATAGTAAGGTAGCTGTTCTCTCGTGCTGTAACAGTTCTCTGATTAGCAGTCACTGCCTTGGGAGGGTCTTGCAGCCTGAGGATAGGTGGATATCTGCTGGATAACCCCTACCTGCAGTGTGCCAGTCCCCAAGGTTGGCTGCAGCCCCTCCACGAGGCAGGTGAAGAGCTGCACAAAACCGGGTGCTGAGTCTGGTGCTCCAGGCACTGTACCTGCTGCAAAAGAGGAGAGATGGGAATTGTCAGTCCCACCTCCCTCGTCTGTGAAAGCAGCAATACAGATCTGCCTGGGGATACAGACTCAGACGAGCTTTTAACAGCTGCTTGGAGCCCAGGGTGCTGTTTGTTACTTAGGGGTGAAGAGTCTTGCCCTGTGCAAGATTTGGTGGATTCCGTGTATTTATATCGGGGAAGGAGCATTTGCAGCATGTGCTGCCCTGGAGCTGAGGGGTTTCTCATCCTGCTGTCTGGAAAGGTGAAAAATTCCTTCGTCTTATGTGCTTAGAAAGGGCGTTGCAGGAGGGGCAAAGCTGCTCTAAAACCCACTTCCTTTAGTAAAGCATCATAAGCTGTTCCTTGGGATAAGTTGGGGCAGTAGCATCCAGCTCCAGCTGTTTTGAGCTCCTGTCCCAGAGAAGAGGTGTTGTGGGGGGCTCGACATATTGGGAAATGCAGAAATCAAGCATTTAATGTGTTTTTCACGTACAGGGGAATGAGGAATAGGCAGGTGAGAGAAAGCTTGAGCTATCATCGATGCAGTTGTGGACTTCTTCACTCAGCTGTTGGAACTGGAGCTGTTTCAAGGGTCGGGAAAACAAAGGGAAGAGCTTTGCTCGAAGTCGTGTCACTGAGAAGGCGGAGAGTTATGTTTTTATTAGCAAACTGTGAACAGCTGGAAAAATAAATGCATAAAAGCATCGGTATAGCCTGAGTGTGTCAAAGCATCTTTAATATTACAGAAGGAAAAAAGGGCCATACAGCAGTATAGAGACAGCCAGAGAATTAAAATGGAATCCTTGAAAATTCATAAAAGATGATCCAAGAGCCATTTAGTTAAAGTTGTAGACCCTACACACACAAAAAGCCCCAAAACCCACACACCAACACCCCCTCTCCCCCCAAAAAAACCAAAAACCAAAACAAAACAAAAACTCCAAAAAGCAACCAAACCCAAAAAACACACCCCGACAGAACAAAGCCACAACATCCCCCCGAGTCAGAGCCCCCGGTTTAGGCGGAGAGCCTGAGACCTGCGGGTGGGGAAACCGGGAACACGGGGTAGAAATCCTTTAGGAAAATGATCGTACGGGTGCGCTCGGGCACCGGCTGGGGCGGGACACGGACTGCTCGGCCCGGAGCGGGGGGTCCCGGATCGAAGGGGGTCCCGGTTTGGGGGGGTCCCGGATTGCGGGTTTCCGACTCGGGGGGTCCCGGATTGGGGGGGTCCCGGACTGGGGGGTCCCGGCTCAGGGGGTCCCGGCTCGGGGGGGTCCCGGCTCGGGAGGTCTCGGATCGTGGAGTCTCGGTTCGGGAGGGTCCCGGATCGGGGGTTCCCAGATCGGAGGGTCCCAGCTCGGGGGGGTCCCGGATCGGGGGTTCTCGGATCGGGGGGTTCCTGGATCGCGGGGTCCCGGATCGGAGGGTCTCGGATTGGGGGGGTTCCCGGATCGTGGAGTCTCGGCTTGGGAGGGTCCCGGCTCGGGGGTTCCTGGATCGCGGGGTCCCGGATCGGGGGTTCCCGGATCGGGGGTTCCCGGCCCCGCGGGGAGGGTTTTGGGGGTGCGGGGGGCGGAGCTCGTGCCCGCGCGGTGCCTCCCCCGGGCGCGCCCCCGCGGGGCGGGTCCGCGCGTGCTCCGGCGGTCGCTCGGCCGTGCCCTTGTCGCCATGGCGGGCTACTGGGACGGCCCCGAGGGCGAGCACTGCGCGGAGCGGACCTGGCTCACCACGCGCGTGGGCGCGGCCGTGGGTGGGCAGCGTGAGGGGGGCGCGGGGGGCGCGGGCGGGCGGCCGAGCGGGGCCCGGGCCCGGTGGCGGGCGGTGACGGGCGGTGCTGTGTTGCAGGCCTGGTCGGGGCGGCGTATCGGATCATCCTGCTGCGGCCCGGCTCGGCGCTGGCCGCCCTGCAGACGGCGGCGGCGGACAGTGTGACCATGGGTAAGGGCNTCGGGGCGGCGTATCGGATCATCCTGCTGCGGCCCGGCTCGGCGCTGGCCGCCCTGCAGACGGCGGCGGCGGACAGTGTGACCATGGGTAAGGGCTGGGACCCCCGACAGTGTCACCGTGGGTAAGGGCCGGGACCCCGGACAGTGTGACCATGGGTAAGGGCCGGGACCCCGGACAGTGTGACCATGGGTAAGGGCTGGGACCCCCGACAGTGTCACCGTGGGTAAGGGCCGGGACCCTCACAGTGTGACCATGGGTAAGGGCTGAGACCCTGGACAGTGTGACCATGGGTAAGGGCCGGGACCCCAGACAGTGTGACCATGGGTAAGGGCCGGGATTCTGGACAGTGTGACCATGGGTAAGGGCCTGGACCCCCGACAGTGTCACCGTGGGTAAGGGCCGGGACCCCCACAGTGTGACCATGGGTAAGGGCTGAGACCCTGGACAGTGTGACCATGGGTAAGGGCCGGGACCCCGGACAGTGTGACCATGGGTAAGGGCCTGGACCCCCGACAGTGTCACCGTGGGTAAGGGCCGGGACCCCCACAGTGTGACCATGGGTAAGGGCTGAGACCCCCACAGTGTGACCATGGGTA